GGATTTGAACCTATACAACTTCTTGGGAGTAAAAGACCTATTAATTGACCTTTTAAAAAAAACTATTAATTTAGTATAGCTAACGGTAATTGACATATATCTCCAATGAAGAGGTTGTGTTCGATCTACCGTCCTCACATGTTGTACTAACAAAGTATTTTTCTTATAATATTTGTGTTAGGTTTCAATCTTATCCATAATCTTGTAAAATTTAAAATTTCTTCTTCTTTTTTTTTTTTTTACGATAAAGTTCTTATTGTTATTACTGAACATTGAAAGAAGGATTAATCCATTTATACTGCTGATAATTTTTCTTCTAATAACAACAAAATATATCCTTTCTCTTGTGCAAAATCTATTTCTGATAAAATATTTTTTTAAAATAAAATTCACACATAATATTATGGGTGAATTTTATGTAAAAAATGTATCTTTCACCGCATTGACAATTGTCGGTATAATAAAATATTTTTTATAGGCACCCTTTTATTACTAGGGAATTATTTTTTTAATAGGTAAATTACAGCTCAATACATTCTATTTCTAATTTAGATATTTTTTTTTAAATCACTTTTTATAAAAAGTAGTTTTAAATTAAAATATTTAGGTATTTGATTTTACTATATCTAAAAGCAGTCTTACAAATTTCAAATTACCATAAAATTGAGTATACATGAATTTTAGGAAGAAAAATAATCTAACAGGCACGAAAAATATAGGTTTTTTTTTTCCTTAAAGCTTAGGGACTAGAATTAAAATGAATCTACTATTTGTATTTATATTTCAACAAATAATTTTAAGAAAAACCTAAAATTTATTTTTTTTAATATAATATATGAGAATGAAGATTCAAACTTATTTTGGTCGAAAATAGATACCTTAACTAGTTGAACTATTCTTATTTATTTATTTATTTTGTTGTATAGTTACAGTGACACTTGCATAGTGACACATATAGTTAAATTTATTATTTTCTATTTCACTAAGGTAAAAAAGAAGTCACTAGAATTTACAACCTAGAATAACAGATAGATGGATAATCGAGGTAGACTTGAGTTTTTGAAAACTTTGTTTACCGAAACTTATAAATTTTAAAAAAAGTTACAATGAAGATTAAATGATTTGAAATGAAATAGTGTAAATGGTAAATATTCTAAACATTTTATTTTTTTTAGAACAAATATTCCCAAAGAGGTTTTTTTTTTCTTTTTAATATATATTCGAATTTAGGTTTGCCGGTGGATGTTGAAACCACATTTTCATCCCTTGAGAAAGAATGTGTACGTGATAATAAAGGATTGGTTTGTATTTATTTCCTTCCGTATTTTCTCTTTATACTTTGAAGTTTTTTATTCTTTATAGTTTCTTGTCACGTTCTTAAATTTTTATGTACTATTTTATTATCATATTCGATAGAATTTAGTTTAACATTCAAATTCATGTATTCTCATGGTAATATTTCTTTTAAATTATTTATACAAAAATTTAACATGACAAAAACTAATTTATATGTATATTTCATGGCCAAACTAAATACAAATAGGTACGAAAGTTAAAAATCAAAATAAAAAATATATTTGAAAAATGAAGGCAGGAGTAGAAGAACCAAAGTTATGTGAGGAGGCAATATACAATAATTATAATTAATCAAATTTTATAAATTGGCCTAAATTTGAGCAATAACTTTAAAGCAAATTTTATATACATTAATTAGATAAAAAAAAAAGAGGGACAAACATTTTATTTTATCTTTTTATATATAATTCTTTTAAATTTTTGAATATAAAAGATAAAGGAAATCAAGGACAAAAAACTTTTAAAATTAAAATTGTATGACTAAATATTGAGATATATGTTGTTTGAACCTTCAATTTTTCATATTTTTGCCAACTTGAACATAACTGTATACCTATCTC